TGGTAGATAAAAACGGCCCATTAAGATTTTAGCCAAAATAATAGTGAGCCTCGAGATTTGTCAAATAGAAGTTCAAATCTTCTGCCACCTATAAGCAAAATTTCCATGTTTGCATAAAATTCTTTTGGCTAAAATTTCAATAGGGCCTTTTTTATAAATTGACCCAATTCGGACCATTTACATGATTAAAAGCCGCGGATAGACCCTAGATATATTTTTTAAAGGGGACCCAACCCAATCCAAAAAATGTATTTACAAACTAACCGGCAATACATCTGGGGGGCCCGATTGAATTTTGGAATGTTTTTGTAGACCGGTAGTGTAATTATATTATATGGGAAAATTTCCTGCTAAGGAGACGGTGAATCAGAAACTGGTTCTCAATTCGATTAAACATTTAAGCGACAAGGAAATTTAGTATTAGTATTTTATCCATATATTTAGATCATAAATTACAAATATACTACTAAGATATTTTATTAAAGTCACTTTCTAATTCAATCGTTCTTTGATGGTCAATGTGCTAATCCATTATAATATTTAATGTGACAGAATTTAGGTAAATTATCCTGATGAATGACAATACATTAACAAATAATCAATTTTTCCCAAAAATAGTTGCGCTTTCCCTTAAGGATCCACTATATATTATAATATAAGTTCTAAATTTATGGCTGACCATAGCACTTAAGGTAATGATTAATTTTGTTCTTTTTTAATAAATACCTTTAAAAAAATTAAATTGTAAAATTAATTATGAAAATGTTATTTAAATGCTGTTAAAAAATATATAATTTGATAATAGACCATTTATCTACCAGAGGTTTTTCTTGTGCAATTATTTCTTTATTAGTAAATATGTCGAATATGTTGTATTACAGTGTTTGATATAATTTTTAAGAACATATGTTCAGTGGCTTAGACATGATGACTTCCCCCCTTCCCTGACCCTCCAATAAAAATATGATAATGTAAAATTTTGGGTTTTCTTAATACTTAATAATATTAGCCAAAAATTTGTTTTCATTTCTTTTAAAATTAATAAAAAAAACCCTCATTAATTTTAAAGAGGTGCCTGTATTCTAATTATCTGGAAGATCCCTAAGGAAGAAGGCAATTTTTTTTAAAAAAAATCAAGCAATATGAAAATAATTAATTATAATAATATATTAAATAATGTCGCTAACTTTTATGACCTGCCAAAAAAAATTAATTAATTTTTTTTATTAGGCGTAGGCGTGTTAAAAATATTTAGGTTTAGCTCCTCTATCTTCTTGCCAAGGCAATGCTAATGTTTATTAAATGGTTTATTCAGGAGGGCGGATATAGCTGCCTTATTTTACTGCCTTGCCGAGATCATTAAACATTAAATAATTTTTTTTTTTAAATGTATTAAAAATAATTAATAAAACAAAACTGATGAAATAGATCTTATGGGGGAAGGGGGGGGGGTATAAATAGATTAGCTAGTTATTAGGTTAGAACGTGAATTACTTGTTAATTAAAAATGGATTATTGATTTATTTATATATTTTTTAATATATGAATGTAAAAAAAATGAAAAAAATTAATGAATTAGGTAAAGAAAAGACAAAAAATTTTCATTTCCTATACGGATTTTTTTTTAAATGGAAGAAATAGGGGTTATATAATTTTTTTTTAAAAAAAAATGTTGATTATCCTTATTTGGATTAAAATATTTCAGAAAAATGTAATAAATAAGAATATAATTTACCTTATTTCTTATAATTAAAATGATTTTATTGGTCGCAGATTATAAGTCCAAAGTTTTCGCTACAATATAAAATATAATTTATTTGTTGACTACTATTACCAGTTTTGCGTTATATTATATATATTTCTAAAAAAATTTAAATATTATATTATTTTTTAATCGTTATTTTTAATTTGATAACTTATATGCTATATTTAATGATGTTATTTTTTTTTAAAAAATAATAAAATTAGTATTCTACTACAAGTAACTATTCCAAACAAATTTGTGTTTACATCTGAATTGAAATGGGACAGCTCAACTTACCTTGTACACTTGCACAAATTTTTACTAATTAGAGTGTGTTCTGATTCAGCTTATTTTTGATATTTAATGCTATTTAGCCGAGGATAAATAGCTTTTGAAAGACATTCTATTTTGGTGTTTTAAGTATTTGGTGATATTGTTATTTTTCTTATTTATTTTAGTTTTTTTTGTATTTCTGATTTAGTATTTTCCGTTTTTTTTAAATTCTTTCTTTTGTTTTTAAGGCTGTTTAGTAATAAGAAGTTCGTTTTAAAACTACCCTATTAAGATCTTAGCTAAAATAAAATTATGTAAGCCTGGAGATTTTGTTCATAGGTAGAAGAAAGATTTGGACCTCTATTTGCCAAATCTTGAGGTTTACAAATATTATTATGGCCAAAATCTTAAGCGGGTCGTTTTTAAAAATCTACTCAGAAAGACCTGAGGGCTTTTTGACAACCTTAACCAGGACACACCCTTAAAACTTATTTTTCAAATCAATTTTAGTGCTTGTAAAATCAAGTGGTTTATAAAGGATTTTATAAGATTATTAATATCTTTGTTCCGGATTTAATTAGATTATCATATGGAATTGATTTCAATCTACAATATTATATAATGAATACTAATTCTCTTCTATATTATTCTAATATTTTATGATATATATTTATATAATATCATTATGCATGATTTATTTGACCCAACTAACCTTGATTCTACTCAAGGTTAGTAATATTGCTAATACCTTCTGAAATATATTAAAACATTATATATTGTTAGAAGAAGAGTTTTAACTTTCATATAAAGTCAATTTTATTATTTTAAACGTATCCTATTTTAGCCCAATCTAATATCATGATAAAAAATATTTTTATTTTGACCTTCCAAAATATGCATATTATATAATATTAACTATATGTAAACTTATAAACATTACTAATTTTAAAAAAAACTGAGGAATTGACGGGCTCCTTGCGTCGACTAGTCCTGGTCTAAGCAGTTTTGTAGGGGGGTAGAAGGGGGGGGGTTAAAATTTTATTCCCAAAATTTATTACAATTAAATCCACACAATGTGCAACGCCGATATTGTATTTTATTCAATATAGAGAAACGGTCATGCAGCTAGCCGGCTGTGGACAGAGGGGAATCTCGCCCCGTAATGAATAAAATATTTCTGAAGAAATATAGAGATTTTTAAGAATTGCAGAACGTCTTCTATTTTCATAAAGGTTATGCATTCTATTTTAGATTAAATATAAAATTTTACACGAAAATTTAAGCATATTTTCTTACATTTAAACCTGAAACACTTATGTTTATGCAATATTTAAAAAATGGCATTTAGGTGAAACCATGAGAAGAATCCTGGATACAAAGACCTAAGTACCAATGTTAGTATTGATGTTCATTTGATTGAAGATTTAAAAAAATAATTTAAATACCTTTCTTGTGGTGATTCATGAAATGACTCTAATATATAAATATTATTATATCTGCTGACAATCCTTCTGAAGATATATTAAATCTTAATATTGAAAAAAAATTAAATGTTTACCCAATTTATTCAGACTGAGGATCAAATATTTAAATAATTTAAATACTTTGGAAAAATTATTTAAGACGATAGATTTCAATAAATGTTTTTTTAATTAAAATGATTTTAGAAAATTAAATTATATCTAACGATTTAAAAGGCATTACAAAATAAAATCATGATAAAATATCTTTATTTTGATCTTTCTTCTTGCTTTATTACTTTTGATTATGAGTTTTTTTATGTCAAATAACATATTTATTCTGATTTATAAAAAAAAAATCGGGGAATAGGGAGGGAGAATAGAAAAACCTGCCTCCCTTTCCCATGAAATACACCATAGAGTTAATTTACATTTTAAAATGGTTTTAAAAAATCTAATTATGTTATAATGTGGGCGAAAGCCTGATTTAGAACATTAAATGCTGCTAAGGATTTAAAAAAAATTTTACAATTTAAAATTTCATTTCTGATTTTAATACAATAACATTAAATTGTTAAAAGGATTTCAACATTTTTTTCTATATAAGTGTAGGTGGAAAAACAGTATTTTTTGATAAATGATTTTAAAATTACTGTATATTTTAGTAATAATACCAATAAGCACATAAAACATTTTGGTCATAATAGAATAAAAAAATAACCTATCATAGAGAGGTAGAAGTAGAAAATATATAAATTTGATCCTCAATTTAGAGAACGAATTATTGATATCAATGGCAAAAAAGATTAATTTCAATTAATGAGAATGATATTTCACTTTTTTTTAAATTATCATATAATGCCTAATTCTATCATATCGTGTTAAACAGGTTTATATATACATATAAATATTATTAAGCATAATTTATTATATCCTTTATGTTCGAAATTGTCATTTTTTAAAATATGATTAGTTCAAATAAATTTCCATTATGATTATTTCAAATAAATTTGTAATGTTCTAAAAATATCATTTCGATATTTTTTAATCAAATTCCTCCACCCTCCCCCTCCAACAAAAATGAAACCCTGGCTACACGCTTAAAGATGGTCAATTAATACAATTGGGTTACAAAACAAAAATAGATTATTAAAAATTGGATTTTCAAGATGAAAAAAACTATTTGACAATCTCCAGTTCTCCAATTTGGAATAATAGATTGAACTATACAATAATAAGAGGATTTTAACAGAGAGATACCGACTGACTCAAGATAAATATGCGATCATCATTTGAGACTAATTTTTTTTTTTAAATATTATGATCTTTGGAGGAACCGGGACAAACTAGAAAGATCTAGAACTCTCTTTATAAAATTTATAGGAAACCCTGTCCAGGGACTGGTCCCAACAAAAGTGCAAGTCATTTATATATTATTTTTAAAATGTTGCACGATTCATTATAGAGAAAGTTTATTTTATTGTTAATTTTTTTTTATTTTATTGTAACATATATATACTAACCTATTAACGTAAGAATTTGGAAAATGTTCGAAGAATTATATTCCCATTATTTACCCATTATTTAATTAATATGATCGAAATTGATTATACTAAAATAAAGTATATATATATAAGGCAGAATTGTATTTTATCGTTTTATAATAATTTTTTTTAAAGAAGAAAAAGATAAATGAATTTTGAATAAGTATTATATAAATATAAATATATAATAATATAATTATTTTATATTTTAATCAATAAATATAATATTTTTTAGTCTTGCCGCGACAAACATGAAGCCATTATATAATTTATAAAGATAAAGGAGTAAAGAGGGTATATATAATATTCATAAAGGCCTTAACTGTAATTTTTCGCTTATGAAAGTTACCGAAGGGCTACACTTTTTTGGGAATTGCACTCCAGCAAGTATATAGTATGCCTACACTGTGAATTCCAGGCAAATTTGACTTGCAATTTTATTGCCCATAAAACAAAATTCTTCACCAACATATAAGTAAAACTAAAAAGCTCGAGCTAAATTAAATCAGCTTAGTTCAATCCTAATTAAAAATTAATAACCTAATTGGCATAGCCTTCTGCTGTTTAGTAACGTAATCATCTTTCTTCCAAAAAAAAATGAGGAAACATAGTTACTATTGAGAGAACTAATTAAGGTAGCGTTACTTTTTACCTTACCCGCTACTAATGTTGTTAAATGGCTCGTTTTGAGCCGATTTTTATAAACGGCTAACTCAATATTGACTAAGCCTCGAAATTTCGATACTATATGTCTAAACCTTTGCTCCTCCTATGAACAAAATTTTCAGACTTGCGTAATATTTTTCTGGATAAAATACTATGTTAGCCGTTTTTAAAAATCTGCTCAAAACGAGCCGTTTAACAACACTACCCGTTACTTTATAATTTATTTATTATATTTAAATCACTTTTATCTTATTATTGTTTAATGTTAATTATCTTCATCATTTTAACTTAATGGTCAGATGAATAAAAGAAACATATTTGGTTTTTGATAAAAATAAAATATAGTGCTTAAGACTATTCCAAAAAGATAAGCTGTTTTTTTATGATGATCTGTGTGATGACTACTTTAATGAGCAATAAAATTTTGTGGGTGATAAAGAGATGCAAACGATTTTGGCTATCCTTAAACAATTTCCACTCATAAAAACCGTTTATGAAATATAAAATACCCTTGCCATCCTCAGCACATATCGAATGGGTGTTCTGTATGACAAAAGAGGTGTTTAGATAGAAATTAAAAGTTTATCAGTATACAATTTTAAGAAGCAATTGCTATTAAAAATTATAATATTTTCTGTCAGTAAATTAATTAAAATATGCTGTATTTTTATTATTAAAGAAATAAATATTTTGTGCAGTATTTAAAAAATATTTAGAATAAAAAAATAAATAAAAATAGTCAGTTAATTATAAATTGACCAGCTAGTTTTTATTAAAACGTTAACGTTATCATTATCCTTAAAAGAGATGCACATTTTTAATCGTTTAAATAAATATTTAATTTCTGTTTTAAATTCTAATATGAGTTTGATACAAATAGATGATATAATATTTAATTAGCAAGTTGTAAACTACTGTTTTCTATATTATATATAAAATAAAAACATTTAAAACTTTAGATGTTCAAAATTAACCATCAAAAGCATTAAAAGTTCATTATAATCAGCTGAATCGGGAAAAACAACGACAAATTTTATTAAAAATTTTCTTTTAAAAAATTATATCTGATGACTCTTTTGATTTTAACCTAATTTAAACCCTAATCTCGTGCATAAACAATTTAAAAATAAAAATACATTTTAAAATATGTCACCTTGCGAAATAAATATTATCGATTTCTAATTCGAAATATTTTGAATATGATTTATTATTAAATAAAATGAAATATAATTATTAATTTATATTACTTTATTATTAAATATATATATATAGATAACAAAATAAATTGGAAATTAATTAAAGTATATAAATAATTTAGCTGAATATTTGCTGTCAGTCACCCCTATAATATTTCAAATTAAAAAAAAATCACAACTTAATTAAAAACTTTCAAAAGTCAATAAAAATTATTTAATAACTTATCAAAAATTTAAAATATCTACCAAATTATTATTAAACTTCCTACGTATTTGTAGTTAGTCTCCTTTTCAATATTTCAAATTGAAAAAAAATCACAACTTAATTAAAAACTACCCAAGAGCCAATAAAAAAAGAGTGAAAATTATTTAATAATAAACTTATCAAAAATTTAAAATATATACCAAATTATTATTAAACTTTCTATTTATTTTAAATAGTGCCCAATCAATATAAAAAACAAGTTGTAAATTAATTAATTACTTGCTTAAGATACCAATTATTCTTATATTGTCCATTTAATTATTTTTTTTTAAATTGCCCGAATTATTTGTTGTTATGAAAATATGTTAAAATGTGTGCTTATTACATTTATATAATAGTCAGAGACCTACAGGCTTGGCCCGGTTTTTTTTTAAATACGAGCATGGCCTATAAAAAAATTTTTTACTCGGGGCCTAATAATTTTTTAAAAAATATCAGGGTCAGGATGAATACTGTATCGCCATTATTATTATAAATATAAAATTGTGTATCATATAACAATCACATTCATTCACTTATCATATTTCCTATTTTATTTTATATAAATTTCATATTTAAAAAGCGATCCGCAAGACTGCCAGATAGGTATATTTTAATTTTTTTAAAGACCAAGGTCGAATAAAAAATTTATACACCCGGGCTGAATTTTTTTAAAATAAAATCCGTGCCGGGCTGGGCCTGAAAATATAAAACCTAGGATGGGCCGATTAAAAATCCGGGCTGGGGCAAAACATTTTTCCAAATCCTGGCTGGGCAGTGCAAATGGCACCTCTGCAGGTCTCTGATAATATTCATTAATTATTATATAATAATAAAAATTTCAGGTTCAAAAAAATATGCAGTCTTTTTTTTGTGGTAGTTATTTTTTTTAAGTAACTTGAACGTAATGGCGTTATTATTATAACAGTGTGACCCAAAATATAACGGCGTTACTTTATTAGAGTAACGTCGAAAGTTTTACTTTAATACAGTATAAATATCATATTGAGCTAAACGGGAACATAAAAATATAAAGAATTTTAATTATATCCTATATTCTTTAACATTATATGAATAGAATATTTGCGAGTATTCAAATGCAAAATTTATAGAGAAAGAAAAGAAATGAAATATTGAAATATGATGGTACAAACATATAGTCCTGCCAAAAATATTTTATTTGCATATGTATGTCACACCACATATGGTATATGAATCAAAACATTTAATAAATTTACTTTTCTAAGAATTTATTTCAAATCTCTAATGTATTATAATAATATATATAAGATTTTAATTTATATTTTGAAACTTTTTTTAAAAAAAACTTTTCATTTAAAAAACAATTGAAATTAATATACAGTAATAAAATTTATTATTTAAAGAAGAATGAAACTCTATATTTATAAAATAATTTATTCAAAGATGTCATCAAAATACTATCTTTTTGAAAAAAAATTAATTTAAAAGCACAGCACTCATCTTTTTGGAAAAATCTATAAATAAACATTTAATTTTGATTTTTTTTAAAGTTTTTTACTTTTATTATACTCAAATATACAATATGTATGCCAGAGACCTGCTAGGTACCATTTGCATGACCCGACCCGGATTTTATATTTTCAGGCCCGGCATGGATATTTTAAAATAAATTCAGGCCCGGCCCGGGTATATTTAAAAAAATTAAAATACAGTCCGACCGGGCCTGCATGTTTCTGATGTATATTATATTAGTTAACTTTTTAATATAGGTGATTTATATTTATTTATTGTTATTTCAGATTGGTAATTAAAATCAAGAACACATTATTTTGAACGGATAGGACACCTCTCAAATTAAAATTTTCTTGGCCAGAGTTCAGCTCAAAATCTTTAATATTTTTTTAAGCCCGGCCTGGCCAAAAATTTTCAATCGCGAAAAATAAGAATAGGATGCATTTTTTAATAAAGTTTAATTAAAAACAAACTAATTTTCTTTCTGTTAATCCCAAAGAAATTTTAAACATCATCTTATTTTAATAAAAGAAGATAAAACATTATTTTCCATTTTATTTATAATTTTTTATAAATGTATTTTAAACCCTCGACTTCAGCCCGAGCCGGATTATGGACTTATTTATAGTATTCTTTGTCGCTATTTAATTTTTTTAATAATTGAGATCTTCTAATTTACTAAAATGTTTATAATTTTCTTAAAAATTAAGTAAGTTATATAAGGAGATTCTAACTAGAGGTGGGCGTGGCCCTAAATTTACGATGGAAGTAAAAAATATTTACGTCCTTTCACGCTTACTACCAGAAAAATTTTGACCCAACCCTCCCGCTCACTAAAGACAATATTTTGATCACATCCATCACACCTGAAAATTTACGGTGTTTTTTAATTTTCCAAAATTTTATATTTTTCACTTTTTTAAATTTATTCTATTATAGTTTTTATTTCTCTAATTTCATTTTAATAACACAAAATATTACAATTTACAATTCAAAATTTATATATAGTGTCCATATTTTTTTATTTCTATTGTGTTCGCCTTTCCTCTAATAAGCGATTGGCTATAGAAAATAACCTTTCATTAGAAGCCGAACTTGTTGTTAGCTGATAAAATTTTACTAGCTAATTTTCTCAAAAAAGAAAATAAATTTTCCTGCATCAAAACTTCAAAAATTGTCATTATTTGTTTCATGAGTGATAAATCTTTTAATATCATCTTCACAATTCATCGGTATATATTAATGCTATTTAGAGAATATGCGGTTTTTTATACAGGATGAATTAGAAAAGTTAAATATGATAGTTGACATAGTCTTATGCATATCATCTAATTTTAAATCAGTTCGCATTTTTAAGTTGTTTTATATGTAAGACGTTTAATTATTACTGTATCGCCTTCGGAAGGTTTATAAAATTTAATTAATTTTTTGTTTTTATAAATAAACTTCATTTATTGTGGGACGAGAATCTGCACTCAGATTATCTGAGCATATTGAGATAAAAAAAATATCTAACTGACA